GTTGAACAAATATGCAGTCCCCCATAAATACTTCCAACTATAAAACAATGATTTTTGTTCTTTGAGAGTATATGTACTGTTCTTTGGTTTTCCACATTTAACATTTTGAACATCTGCCAGTACAGTTTGGGTTCATTTCATATACCATATACAATCATTAAAAATAATGATATATATCATAGTTCATTCAACTAATTTTTTTCTTTGAGATAGGGTCTCTGGTTGGCCTGGAGCATGCTATGTATATCTGTAACTTATAGAGATCCATCTACCTCTGCCTCCCACATGCTGGGATTAAAGGCATGTGCTACCTGAAGTTTTGTTTGTTAATACATTAAGTAGTTCATGGGCAGATTTCACTTTTTCTTCTTTTTGCTTAATATCTGGTACTTTGTAAACTTCCAGCATTTTACTGCATTCTTACAGTTTCATTCAACTCTATAATATTTGCTCTATGGGCTCATTTTTTAAACATCTGAATTCCAGATAACTCTGTGCACTGCATCAGGCTACTTTCTTTTTTCTCTCCTCAGTGTGTTTTACAATTAAGGAGTTAGCATTATACTTCAGAGAACCCCCAAGCTTTCCTAAGCTTCTTTGCAAATTTTCTGATTTTCTTTTGAAAAAACTTGAAAGCTACCTGTCTAGGATGTGAAGCTTTCTCCTTTTGTAATCTCTGAACAAGGCTACTTTCTGTAAAGTAGTATTCTATTAGTATATCACCAATCATAACAATTGATGACTTTTATACATGGGCACAAGACAGACACCAAACTAAATCATTTGCACAGGGGCAATCTCAATCATCTTCTGCCACAAAGTTAAGAAGCACAGGTGCTATTGTTACCCCAATAATAACAGATGAGTTAATAGGATTAAAAGTCTGAAGTTGGGCCTGGAGAGATGGCTCAGTGATTAAGAGCACTGGCTGTTCTTAAAGAGGACCTGGGTTTGATTCTCAGTACCCACATGGCAGCTTTCACAACTGTCTGCAACTATAATTCCAGGGGATCTGACACCCTCACACGGACATTCATGCAGGCCATGCACCAATACACATTTTAAAAAAGGTCTAAGGTTGTACAGCTAATGTGTTCGCAAATCAGAAATTTTCTAGATTGAATTCTTAAGCTCCATACTAGATTGCTTGCCAAGATGTTTAATTACTATGCCAGACAAAATCACATTATTAGGAAATTTGTGTGGTACCCAGACCACTGGTTCTGCACATCAGACACTTAAATATGTAATTTCAGGTTTATGGTCCCTGTTAATTTAGTTTATTTTCCCTCCCTCCCTCTCTCCTTCCCTCCTTCCCTCCCTCCCTGTCTTCTCCCTCCCCCCTTCCTCCATTTCTTTGTTCTCTTTCAAGTTAGGGTTTAATGTAGTTCAGGCTGGCATCCATCTTCCTATGTAGATAAAGATGACCTTAAACTCCTCATCTTTCTGACTAGTAGAGTTATAGCTTGCATCACCATGATTCGTGTTAATCATACATTAATTCTTGTTAATACTTACAGAGTATGGATTTTTAGTTCCAACACTTTAATAAGAAAATGACAAATGAATAAAGCACACTATAAGGCAATTATAGAAACAGGGAATAGGAAAGGAAAATAGAAAAATACTTATTTTTATTCATGAAATTTTAAACTACTATGTCTGCCCCTTCCAAAAAACAAAACAAGATTTTACTAGGTAATCCAGGCTGGCTTCCACTCAGCAGCCTACTGTGGACTGGATTTCAGGCATTTGCCACCATGACTGGCTTGAAGTAGAGTATTGATGGTTTTAACTTCTTTTTCAGGGTGCTGGGAATTAAACCCAGGTCTTACATATGGTAGGCAAGTGCTCTACTATTGAGCTATATGCCTCCAACACTTTGAGACGCATTTTAAGATGGAAATAACTCCATTTTTATTTATAAATATGATAAATGATAAGGAACGAAAATATTTATGAAATTCCAGAGACAATCATTACCAATGTAAGTAAGCTTATATAAAAAATGTATTTAATTGGTATAGTGCCAGGGTACTGTTCTTCAGAGAGTGAATAGGACATACTTTGAGAGTTTGAGATATGGCTTAGTTGATACGATACTTACCTGGCATTTGAGACCTGAGTTCAATTATCAGTACCAATAAAATAACTGACTGATCCTGGTCATGGTACATGCCTTTAATCCCAGCAGTCAGTCAGGAGGCAGAGACAGGTGGATCTCTCTCTGAGTTCAAATACAGTCTGGTCTACAGAGTAAGTTGCAGGTCAGCCAAGGCTATATACAAAGCCTGTATTTAAAAACAAACAAAATAATAATAAAAATATGTGAGCATCTTTCCATGTTAATAAATAATCAAATATTATCCCATTATTTCTTCTAAGAGATTGAAGCTTTTTAAATATGTGAACTAAAGTAGTAAAGGATAGAGTCTTTTTCATATTTTCCTTTATTATAATAATTTGTTTATACTTTTTATTTGCTGAATTTTTCTGCACTTGTTTTACTAGAAAGAATTGTGCTGAATGTATAATCATTGTTATGCCAGTAACTGATTTTTTTTATTTTGAGATAGACTTTCATGTACCCAGGCTGGTTTCAGATTTGTTATATAGTCAAATATGGTCTTGCAGTTCTGATCACCCCTGTCTCTGCCTCCCAAGTGCTAAAATTATAAGCATATCCCAACAAGACTGATAGTTTTTGTTAAGGACAGTTATAGAGGGTTTTTGTTTGTTTTTTGTTTTTTTTTTTTTTTTTGTTTTCTTGTTGAGAAAAGCCATTAGTTTCAATCTCTTCCTAGGATTTTTATCTTTCTGGTTTTTTTTTTTTTTTTTTTTTTTTTTTTGAGACAGGGTTTCTTTGTGTGGCTTGGGTTGTTGTGGACTCTGTAGACCAGGCTGACCTCAGACTCACACAGATCCACCTGCCTCTCTCCTGAGTGCTGGGATTAAAAGCGTGAACCACCACTGCCCAGCTATCTAGGTGTTTGTTGTTGTTGTTTTTTTAATTAATGAACATTTTAAGATTTTTTTTCTAAAGTAGAATAGAAGCTGTATTCCTAACATACTGGAAATTATATGAACTTTAGAGTAAAGATCCTGGATCTACCAGTTTTAGTTATGTAAATAACTTGAGTGAATAAGTAAGACAACTTAATATCCTAAGCCTCAATTTTCTTAGCAAGAAATCAGGAATTGTTACTGTTCTCTCACAGGTGAAGTAATTTTAACAAGATCTACAAATGTGAAGTGCCCAACACAGCTACTCTTTTCCAACTTCTGGAGTTAGATAAGGTGTTCTACCTTTGCTAGTCTAATGAAGCCTATAGAGGGAGCCTCCATATCAACGTGAGGTCTTATTTGTATAAATGAAATGCCTGGGATTACAGAGGAGATAAGTTATATTGAATACAGTGAAGAAGACATTTAACTTTGATATATATATATATATATATATATATATATATATATATATATATATATATTTGTACTTATCTGGGAGAATTAATGACAGACAGGATGGATAAATGGAACCTAAGAAGGGAGAAGAAAAAGCTCATATACCTGCTTTTGACTTTTTCTTGAGCTGTCGTTTTGGATTTCCAACAAGGCTCCTAGAAGTTTCCTCCTTCATACTGCCACCAATTTTCCTGCCAGGAAATTAAATACCTCTCCCAAAGTCTAGTTGCTTTCCTTATATTGATAATCTACCACTTGTGTAATACCTCATGTTTAAAGCTACAAATCATATTAAAGTTCTTACTTTTCTACTCTGTTTGGTGTTAAATTAGTCATGGCCATTTGTAAAATTGTTTCCAGTGTGGAAGAAGGCACTCAGGGCCTTGCCTTATGGTAGAAAAGTACTCTACTACTTAGCTATATCTCTAGCCCTTATCTGAGAGATTTTTCTCAATCTCCATAGTGTTTTATTTCTTCTGTCCAGATTTACTTACCTTTTATTGCATCATTGTCATTAAAAACAGATTTTTTTCTCTGATGACTTCCAGCATTCTTTTTTTACAAAGTATTTCTTGGGTATTTCAGGTTGGTGTTTAGAAAAACGAGAACATATGTAAACTGGCCAAGAGAATCAGTTGACAGGTCTGAAGTAGTATAGCACATATCTGTATAGTAGCATTTTAGATGTAGGTGTAAGAATATATCATAAGAACCTAAAATACCAAGAAATACTTTGTGAACAAGGATGCTGGAAACTGGGGAAAACCCCATTTTTAATGACAAAGACGCAATAGAGGATCTTTGAGGACAAGCCACTTATTACACTTACCTTTCTATCTACCAATAGTGCTTAGTGTAGCACTTAAAAGTGCTTCCTAAGATATTGATAGTAACCATCTTAAGATAGTATTTCCAAAACCAGAAAGGAATAGTTGACATATTATCTGCTGAATTTTTACTATAGGAATTGTTGATGTCATACTAAGTGTTTATGTCAAAAACCTACTGGGAATTGTGTATGTATATAAAGTTTTCACTAACTCACTACCATAACTCTCCAGACTCACTTGAGGTTTTTTTTTTTTTTTTTTTTTTTTTGTGGTATATATTATCATTGGTTAAGAAAACTGCAGATGTGGTCTTTTTCTACTGTGAAATAGCCTTCTTTTTGACCTGATTGCCACTTGGCCACTTGTAGCCTAGGGTCTAACATAATAGTGTCTGATGATCCACCATCACCACCACCATCATCACCACCACCATCATCACCACCACCACCACCAGTCAGCTGAGAGTGTTTACTTTTAAAGGCTTGGGAACATACATACATACATATGATTATAAATGCAAGTTACAAAAGCAAATACAATGAAAAAAGCTTTGTAGAAATTAAAGTAAATAATTTTGTCAGGAAAAACAGTTTTAGCAAAGGAGTCTTAAAGCTTAAAGTAATATCTTGATCATCTTAGTAGACATTGATAGTTTGTTTTACATCTATGCTTTATCTTTTGATTAATTTTTCTCTCTTGTATTCCTAGGTTAAAACATCAGAATTTTATAGATACTCTCGACAGCTACGCTATGAAGTTGACCAAGCACTGAATTACTTCCAGAATGTTCACCAACAGCCCTTGTTAGACATGAAATCAAGCCGTATTCGTTCTGCCAAACCCCAAACTACAGTATTTCGAGGAATGATTGGACATAGCATGGTTAATAGTAAAATACTTCTTCTAAAGAAACCAAGAGTCTGGTGGGAACTGGAGGGCCCCCAAGTACCTCTAAGGCCAGACTGCCTTGCTATTGTCAATAATTTTGTATTCCTGTTAGGTGGAGAAGAACTAGGCCCAGATGGCGAATTCCATGCCTCTTCGAAAGTATTCAGGTATGATCCAAGACAAAATTCTTGGCTGCGCATGGCAGACATGTCTGTACCCCGTTCGGAATTTGCTGTTGGTGTTATTGGGAAGTTTATTTATGCTGTGGCAGGCAGAACAAGAGATGAAACTTTCTACTCAACAGAGAGATATGATATTATTAATGATAAATGGGAATTTGTAGATCCTTATCCAGTCAACAAATATGGACATGAGGGGACAGTGCTCAATAATAAGTTGTTTATCACTGGAGGAATCACTTCATCTTCCACATCTAAACAAGTATGTGTGTTTGACCCCAGTAAAGAAGGGACCATAGAACAGCGGACCAGAAGAACTCAAGTAGTCACCAACTGCTGGGAGAATAAGAGCAAGATGAATTATGCCAGATGCTTTCACAAGATGATATCTTACAATGGCAAGCTTTATGTCTTCGGTGGTGTCTGTGTGATCTTGAGGGCCTCTTTTGAATCTCAGGGCTGCCCTTCCACAGAGGTGTACAACCCAGATACTGATCAGTGGACCATCTTGGCATCCATGCCAATTGGTAGAAGTGGCCATGGTGTGACTGTACTGGACAAACAGATAATGGTCCTTGGAGGCCTTTGTTATAATGGTCATTACAGTGATTCTATTCTCACCTTTGACCCAGATGAAAATAAGTGGAAGGAAGATGAGTACCCTCGGATGCCCTGCAAGCTGGATGGTTTACAAGTATGCAACCTACATTTTCCAGACTATGTACTGGATGAGGTTCGACGTTGCAACTGATGAAATCTTTCTCCCTGGAAAAAATAAAACAAAACAAACAAACAAACAACAACAACAAAAAAAGGCAAATCAAGCATTTGTGATAAAGTAGTTTAAAATCATAAAGAAAAACCTCACCAGTTTTATTATCAAAGCCATTGGTCTAATATTGTAAGTTTTCATTCTGTGCTAGCATCTTTCTTTTCCTTTCAGTGGCCTCAAACTCATGCAATAAGTTCATTTAAAGCGCTAGCTCTTGAAACTACTTCCAAAAGCAGTTTATGCACTGCTCTACTTACCTGGGAAGTTGATTTTCTGCTTTAAAAATTTCTTTTAGATGTTAGTGTAGGATTTGTGCATCTTTTAAAGAAGACCCAGTAAGTGTCACTGGATGTGATTTCAGTCCCTCTGTCTGAACTGTTTTTGGATATTATTTTAGTTCAGTATATGTTTTGGTTTATTATTTAAAAGTATAAAACTCTTGACCTTTTTGCATGGCTTTTTGCTGAAAATGCAAAATTTAAATTTTCTACAAATGTTTTTTATATCAGAACACTATTTCTAAGCTGCCTTCTCTTATCTGCATTGTGTTAGTGAAAGCATATCCATACTCACATACATCCTATAAATATATAAGGCACATCCCTTTTATGCGTGGTTAGGATTCTATATTTTTAAGCTAGTGCACTTGCACATACAGTTCGCCATACTTGTTGAAATTTAGATGTAACGTCTTTAATGTATTAATGTTTTTAGAAAGTTAAAGTAACTGGAGTCCTCATTCGGTATCAAAGTAGTCTTTCTTCAGTCCATACTGGTTCAGTAAAATTTGCACTCATATTTCTGAAACATGTATGGATTAAAAAAAACTAATGTCTTACATTTTGTTTTCAGAGGTAAACATTAATATTTCATATCAATGTATGTTTTTTTCTTGTTTGAAAATATTTTTCTTTGCAGTCTGTTTAATGTTGGTTACTCTGTTTTAGTGATAATCAGAGTGGCCTGTGTCAAGCTCTGATCCTGCAGTGTGCAAGCACTTTTAAAGAAGAGTTAGGTAATACTATACTAAGTAAAATCCCCTTAAAAGTAAGTGCAAGTCCCATTGTTTCTATTCAGTAAGGCTGCTGCAGGCGATGAATATGGGGCAGCAACTCTTACACAGTTTGAGCTCAGTTTTGACTCAGAGGTGAGAAATGAGCTAAATAATGTTACTGGTTATATCTGCCTGATCAGTTTGTACAAAATATTCAGTGATACTAGAGAGAGATGTCAACCCTCAATGTCTTTTTAGTTTCTGGAAGCTACTAGCATGAAGAATAGTAACCAGAAAGTTTGGAATGACTCTTGAATAGCTGTTTTAAAGGCATTTATCATAAATAGTTTAGGCTTAACTGCACATTTCAACTCTTCAAATGAGAAGGAAGAAAATATAACTGACAAAATTAAGAGTGATCTGGTAGTGGGTCATTCAAATTGATGCCATTTTCTCATGAGCAGTCTGTATCTGATTAAATCTTGCACTGGCATAGTTTGCCAGATCTGTGGATTTTGGTGCAATATTGCAATGCCTTCTATATGGCTGCTGTTATATAAATTTTCTAGTTACTTTGCTTTGTTTTATTTTGCTGCTGGCAACATTGAACATAAAATGGAAGTGTGAAGTAATGGAAATGTGAAGATTTTGTTTTCTTCTCCCCTTTACCCCATGCCTCCGTTCATAGTATGAATAAGGCCTGATTTTTCAAAACTGTAAACCCAGAGGTGGTTTGTGTTTTAGAAAGTGTCGGGTACACTTTTTTTCTTTCAGGAATCAAAATAGAAGCTTCTTTTGTATATGATTCTTCCATTTACATTAAGTAGCCTTTCATTTATTTCTGATTTCTGAAAATAAAATTTGATATTTGAGTTTCTCTTAGAATGTGGGAAAAGGTTTTTTTTTTTTTTAATTTTAAAAATAAGTTTAATTATTTTGCTTTTGGAAAGTATAAATTAGGTTAGCCATCTAATTTTTTCTGATAGAAGTTTATATGTGTCTCTTTAAAGAAAATAATGTCTTCATTATTTTTCTCGATATCTTTTGTTGGAAATAACCAAGAAAAGGATATCAGACAGGGTACCCATATCAAAGACTTTACACTCCAGTGGCAGTTCTCTTAATTGCTTTGACACAACATCATGGAATATTCTTGGTCTTCCATTTTGAAGATACAAGGCCAAGGTCAACGATTGTTTCAGAAAATTCATGAAATCGTAACTTGAACTAATTCTGGGTTCAGCTTCACGTAAGTCATGTCTGACTATAATCTTAGCAGTAATCAGTTTTGAGCTTTAAGACTAGTTGCTATTGCTTGGGTTTTGAATGTATGAGGAAACTGTAGTTCTGATTTAGATTATAAATCCACAAGTAACTTACATTCCCTTTTAAAATTATGGTTTAATATCTGCAAGAGATTTATTTTTGTTATACTAAAATATGAAAAAAATTTTTCATAGAGTTTTCAAGCTTTTCTGTGCTTCATTTGGAACCACTTTGTCTATATGCATTGTATATGAACAAGACTGTCATTCTGACAAAAACTCAGTAAGTGGTTTGAAGCTATATGGTTTAACTATTAGAATCTTTAAATGTGTCATCTTCCACTTTACATTTTAAGTACTAGACTACACAAAAAATAGCCAATTTTCTTTAATTGCATTTTAGTTGGACCACTTATTTTCTTACATGTCTTTGACATTCTAAGTTGTGATGTTAAAGAAAATCCTTGCACTACAGCCTTTTCATAAAATACAAGATTCTCATGTTGAAGGTTTTGTATTAGAAGAAATGCTACTGGTTTCTAAAAGGCAAAGCATTATAGAATGGTTAACTTTTCTTGATAGCATTTTCTGTGTCCTCATTGCTCTACCTTGTGTGAGTGTTACTCTAATTGTGAAATACTTACTGAGCCCTTCTCGCATCTTTTTTAAAGCAGCACCTTTGGACACCTCATTCTGGGAAGCTTGCTTGAGTCACAGTAAAGGACACACACACTTGTGTGGGGAAGAAGTGGTAAAATGGAGAGTTTTGTCTTAATTACATAAAACTAAGCTTTAAAATATTTTATAACAAATTATTTGAGCTGCATAATCTAAACATGTCAAACGTTTTGTGGGACTATTTTTATATATGTATATGTGGGTGTAGGTCATAACATTTCAGTTTATAATATAAATCGTTATTTCAGTTTATAAGCTATCTCTCAAAAGAGATTAGCTCTTTTGAGAATACATAATTTAAAAGTTTTAGACTGAAGTAAAACAACATAGACAATAGTGTAAATTAGAAATAATTGAGGGCTATATGGCAGTGAGACTGCTAGTGCCAGTTTTCTTGTTCGCCTACCATGTTTTCAGTTTTTGTTTTTGTTGTTTTGTTTGGTATTCTGAACATTTTTGAGAGACCATACATTTGTTTAATTACATTTAGAGTCGGTTTGGGAATAAATATCTTCTAAAAAGAGATTTATATTAAAAATTAAAGTCCTAAAAATGAGTATATTAAGAGTTTATTACTTCAAATACCCTATAGGCATGGACTGGAATAGATAATTCATGGAAATCCCATCCTTTCACTATAGCAGTATAACTCCCAATATTATGTGAGTAACATTGAGAATGCTATAGCTTTGTTCCCTCTTAAAATTCTTGGGTTTGCTTTTGGCTTCTTGGGAACAACTGCATTAAAAGTTACTAATCAGTATATCAGTAAGGATTTGAGATTGCTTTCTGAAGGAATGTTCCCAAGAGGTGAGGTGATCAGAAAGGATCTTTTCTACCTAACTTGTATATGCCCTATACTCTTAGGCATACTATGTCTATAGAAAAAATATTTTGACCTTTAGGTACCTTTGGGGCCAGTAGTCAAATAATCCTAGGGCCGATACTAAAATCTTAGAATAATTTAAGGTTTGCCTTTTATACCTGTTTTGAAAGCCTTTACATTTTTTTGTCAGGTAATTTTTCCCAAGCCGTGGATATAATCTATTCAACATGTTTATGCTATCCATTCTGTTTTTAAATTGAAAAAAGTTAAAAGTGTTTATGAAGAAAAGTTTAAATAAAATATTTTCAATCTTTAAAACTATGTCTTTATCTGATTATTTAGTCTTTAATTTAATCCTTCATATTTAAGTCACTAATAACTTAATAAATAGTATACTTTGTTATCCTTCAGCATACCAAGAAAAGTATGATTTCTGCCAATATGTTTAGCAGAAGATTCAAATGAGAGCATTAAAGCAAAATGATTTATAGTCTTCTATGCAATGGAAATGATATGCCAAAGCCAAATAATTAAAGGTCCACTAACAAGACTTTTTCAGTTTTAGAAAATAGAACTACTACAACCAAGAAAAGGCATATATGGTCCTCAACTTCAGTTGGTAAGCTTTAAGTTTTATCTGACATTTCTTTCATTGTTCTTAAAGGTATTCCTTAATTTAGGACATAGGCAGAAGTCTTGGGTATGTGTGCATGCATACACACATGTGCTTTCTTTCACATGAAGTCCTAAGAAACCTAAGCAGGATTCCATTTTCCAACTTTTCTCACCATCCCCTCATGCATTGCATTTCTCTACCCTTCCTTCATTCATTTATCTTTTTGGTATATTCATTTCAAGCCTCTATTTGTCTTTCCCTTTCCCTGTCAGTCCACTTAATTTATGAAGCCCAACTCAAACTCTCCTGTGCTGGTTGGTGGAGATGTTCCCCAATAATCTCAGGCATTTGAATACTTGATCCCTAGGGGAGGCTTGGGTATGTGGTCTTGCTGGAGAAGTATGTCATTGGTGGCAGGCTTTGAGATTTCAAAAGACTTGCCATTTTGAATGGGCTTTCTGTTTCCTGTTTGTAGACAGAGATGGGAGCCCACAGCTCTCAGCTTCTGCTCACCCACATGCCTGCTACTTCTGCTCTGCCATCATGGACTCTAATCCTTTGGGACTGTTTGCGGTCATGGTATTTTATCACAGCAATAGAAAAATAACACACCTCCCCCTTGAAACTTGTATTTCTACCCAGTTGCCTCTTATACACCCCACTCATTTGTGTCTCTTGATTTCATCCATTTTGCACAATAATGTAGTACAGAATTCTTTCTCTGTGGCTAGATCATAGTCTCCTTGGGTATAAACACTGTTTCTTACTGCTTTGAATGAAAAGACCCTCAGGGGCTAGCCTGTTACTATGTTCACAATAAACCCCGAGCTCAGTGCTCATTGCAGCACAGCAGGTTCCATTGTAGGTTATAGGCAAGTGCTGTAGGGAGTTAGATTATTGAGAGGTTACAGTTCCTTGAATTTTAGCTTTGCTTTCTTTACCTACACTCTTCCTACATAATCTTTGCTGCACCTATAGCTTCCCTTCAAACTTTAGTTCTGCCATCTAGCAAATCCACATTTCTTAACTCAGGGTTCCAGCCAGCTCCTGAACATTCCTCGTGTGTTTCATTGGCATAGTAAAATGAACACATTTATCTCCTGTAATAGTTACTTTGTTGTTGCTGTGACCAAATACCATAACCAAAAGCAACTTAAGTTATTTTGGGTTATGATTCCAGAGGGATGAGGGTCCATGATAGCAAAGGGCCATGGCAGCAAGAAGGGTTGTGGTAGGAACAGGAAGCTACGAGCTCACATCTTTAAATGCAAGCACTGAAGTAGAAGAGAGCAAGTTAGAAGAAGTAGGATAAGCTTTTTACTCTTAAAGCCCACCCCAGGAATAATTCCTCCAACAATGCCACACCTTCAAAACTTCCCCAAACAGCACCACCAACTAAGAACAAAGTGTTCAAATGCTTGACACTGGAGGACATACATTTTCCAAGTACTGCATCTCTTCTTTTCACATCTGGCACACAGTTTGGAGTTCAAGGCAGAAATCTGCATCGTCATCCTTACCCAACATGTGAGTTGAGTTTTTTTGTTTTTGTTTTTGTTTTTGTTTTTTTTTTTTTTTTTGAGACAGTCGCACTATGTATCCTAGGCTGACCTTGAACTCTGGGTGATTCTACTTCAGCCTTCCTAGTGTGGGAAATACAGATCTGCTATCACACTGGTCTTTTGCCACTTTGAACTCTCAGCCATCTGCTTAAGCCATACTTGTCTAGTCCAAGACCTCATGGTTCCTACTAGACTTCCTGTATTATCTTTCTGATCAGCTTCCACATTCTGTTTTATACACTGCTGCCAGAGAGAGCTCTAAAGCTAAATCTGACCTTGAGGTTAAACATTCTTCAATAATTGTCCTTCATCTTGAGAGTAAGGTCCTAACCCACTATTGTGCCATGGAAACCTTTTTATCTTTCTGACCTGCCCTCCCTATTGGGAATATAACCTTGTATCTATTAGACAACATCTCTACACTCCCAACTCCCTGTTCAGTGTCTTATAGCCTATACTATATAGCTATGCAAGCCACATGACTTTCTGAATAGGCCATGTTTTCTCCAACCTCATTGCCTTTCTACCCACACCACACACCCCATCCTCTCTTGGCTCATCCTTTCTTGGATTTCATAAACCAGTCTTGGTAACATTTTCTCCTTTTAAAACTTCTACCCTTCAGTCTTAATAATAGCACCTTGTGGATACCTACACCTCACCTTTTCTGATATAACTGCCTTCT